TTTCAGGTAATTTACGTATTCCTTGCCTGAAGAAATCTTGGTCTTTTGCAGTGATCCAATTATCAAGCCAAATTTTGATACTTTCGTATGAAGTGAACCGTTCTCCCGTAAGATCTGACTGCAGTGTTCGAAATAAGTGGTAATCCGAAGGAGNGACAAAGCGGTTCCGTCTCCCCTTAAGAATAATTTTTCTTGTTTGAGAATCTGATGATATATTGGGTGTGTGAATATGATTCCACCCTTTTTTTGTTCAAATAAAACACATCTGCTTGTTTAGAAAAGTAAAGAAAAGTTTATTGAAAGTATGCTCCATCTGCAGGCCCAACCTTCGCCCATCTTTCAGATAATTTACCTGAAGAAATCCTGGTCTTTTGAGCTGATCCAATTATCAAGCCAAATTTTGATACTTTCGTATGAAGTAAACCGTTCTCCCGTAAGATCTGACTGCAGTGTTCGGAATAAGTGGTAATCCGAAGGAGCTATGTCTGGCGAATATGGCGGATGGAGTAGCACTTCCCAGTCCTGTCCATCTAAATATCTTTTCACAACTTGAGCGGTATACGGTTTGACAGCGTCATGTTGAAGAATTAATTTACTGTGCCTATTCACCCATTCTGGTCGTTTTTCTTCTATGGCTCGCTTCAAACGCACTAGTTGTTATCGGTAAACGTCTCCATTAATATTTTGGGAGGGTTCGAGCAACACATAATATACAACACCTCTCTGATCCCACCAAATGCAGAGCATAACCTTGGCCCTGTGAATATTTCTTTTTGGCTGGGATGGGCCGAATTCACCTGGCTTCACATAAGCTTTTTGGCATTTAGGATTCTCATAATATATCCATTTTTCATCTCCTGTAACTATTCGATGCAAAAATCCTTTTCTTTGCTGTCTTTGAAGTAGCATTTCACAAATTGTTTTTCGACGTTCCATGTCTCCTTCTTTCAATTCATATGGAACCCAGTTACCAAATTTTTGAACCATTCCCATTGCTTTTAAACGCTTTGCAACAGTTGATCGTTCAACATTTAATGCGACAGCCAATTCTGATTGAGTTTGACAAGAATCCTCTACCAATAATGCCTCCAATTCAGCATCTTCAAATTTTTTTGGTGGTTTTCCATGTTCTCTGTCCTCAGTGCCAAAATCATTATTTTGAAATCGTCGAAACCATTCCTTGCAAGTTGTATTAGATGGAGCATGTTCACCATAAATCTCCACAAGAAAACAATGAGTTTCCGCTACACTTTTCGTTGCAATATAATAGTGTAATAACACTTCCCGCAAATGATGTTTACTTGGAACGAAAATCGACGTTGTCGCGAAGGGAAAAACACTTGTTGCTTACATTTCAACCAAATGTCACGTAGTGCGTTTGACAGCTGACAGAGTACTATCGAATACAAGTGTTGCCATTTATTAATGCACGTAAGCAATACTAAAAACGACATCTATTGGGAAAGGGCAGAGTCATATTCATACACCTAATATAAACAACTACAAACGATTGTAGACAGGAATCCGATATCACCTTCGCTGTAGCTATGAATCACTTCCTAGTTGTGCTCCAAAAATCGACCGGACGCTTACTCGGATTCGGATTGGAAAAGTTTCCAAACTACAATTAACTGCAAACGATTGTAGATGAGAATCCCATCTCACGCTGCAACTGTAAAATAGTTTCTGTCTTTCAAAAATGGATTGGACGATAGTTTGAATTTGGATCAAGAAAATTTCAAAACTTCTATCAACTTTAAACGATTACCGGAATCGTTCTTTCTTTCTAATTTTTTTCAACACTACAAACAACTACAAACGATTGTCAACAGTGATCCGATATCATATTAGCTGTGGCTATTAATCACCTACTAGTTGTGCTCCAAAAATCGACTGAGCGCTTATTTGAATTCGGATTGAAAAAATTTCAAAACTACAATCAACTACAAACGATTACAGATGAGAATTACATGTCACTTAAGCTGTAACTAGAAAATAGTTCCTAACCGTCTTTCACAAAATGGATTGGACACTTGTTTGAGTTCCGATTGAGAAAATTTCAAAACTACAATCAAGTATAAGCGATTGCACATAAAAATCGTTTCTACTTTCTAATCTTTTTCACGACTACAGACAACTACAAACGAATCCTTTCACGTATCTGATCTTCTTCAGGCCCTTGATGAGAAATAATTTTTCGAAACAATTTCATAAAAACCATCCCTTCCTATTTTTCATTGGAATGATAATTTTTAAATACTATACACTACTGTAAGCGATTGTAGTTGATTGTTGAAAAATCATTTTTCAATACCATTTCAAAAAAACTTTTCGCTTTTTTTTTCATTGGACTGAGAATCTGTGAATACTACAAACAACTACAAACAATTGTAGACAGGGATCCGATATCACCTTGGCTGGAGCTACCAATCACTCCCTAGTTGGGCTCCGAAAATCGAGTGAACACTTATTTGGATAAGGATTGAAGGAATTTCAAAACTGCAATCAACTGCAAACGATTGCAGATAAGAATCCCATGTCAATTAAGGATAATCGGGCGAGGAGGAAATGTAGGAGGTGAGGCGGAGGGGTTTCTATTGTTTTCCTGCAGAAAACCAATCGCTGAACAAAAAAATTTTTCCCATTCGGATTCAAAATTCAGGCAATATTAGGGAGTATCTCCGGTTAAAAATTATTTTTTGAGCTAATCAAATTTATTTGTATCTGTTCCACGCCTTGAATAGATTTCAGATTGTTTTTTTTTAATAAATGAAAAAATATTAATCCATGCGAAAAAGTGGCAACATCGTCGGTAGTGTTTTTTTTTCACCAGGAGCTGGTACCACTGGCTCGAGGGAGCTCCAATCACAACGCTTCATCGCTCTCTCTCAAGAGACGTTTAAATTGACCGCGCTACCCCCACCCGATCGGTACTTGAGACGTTGCTGTTCGTTTGGGCTGCGTGCGCAGAAATTTCTTTCTTCAGTACTTTTTTTGTTATTATTAATAAACAATGCTCCTAGGCGACAATCTTTTTCACTCAAAAAATCATTGATCACATGTTCTAAATGTGTATAAAGTTTCATGACTTTAGCTGCTTTTTTTCCTTGGGTTTTGCAGTTTTTTTTGTGATTTCCATAAGATGACGGGTTAAATGACCACTTTTTCAAAAATTCATAATAAATTAACCATGTTCCCCAGCAGTCCGAAACTTTGCACACGCCTTTTCCATCATTTAAAGAATACGTAAAAAATAAAAGAGAAAAATGGCTGCTTTTTTTCTAACCCTCCGGGCTCGCCCGATTATCCTTAAGCTACAGCTATAAAAAAGTTCCTATCTTTCAAAAATGGATTGGACACTTGTTTAAGTACGGATTGAACAAAATTTCAAAACAACAATCAACTATAAACGATTGCAGATAAAAATCTCTCTTTGTTTCTAATTTTCTCCACAACTACATACAACTGCAAACGAATCCTTCTACGTATCTGATCTTATTTACAACTCCAAACAACTACAAACGATTATAGATAGGAATCCGATATCACCTTGGCTGGAACTACAAATCACTCCCTAGTTGGACTCCGAAAATCAAGTGAACACTTATTTGGATTCGGATTGAAGAAATTTCAAAACTACAATCAACTACAAACGATTGCAGATAAGAATCCCATGTCACTTAAGCTACAACTATAAAAAAGTTCCTAACTGTCTTTAAAAAATGGATTGGATACTTGTTTGAGTATGGATTAAAAAAATTTTAAAACTACGATCAACTATAAACGATTGCAAATAAGAATCTTTCTTTGTTTCTAATTTTCTTTACAACTACGAACAACTACAAACGAATCCGTCTACGTATCTAGTCTTTCTCAGGCCCTTGAAGAGAAACTATTTTTCGATACAATTTCATAAAAACCATTCCGTTCGTTATTCTATTGACATGAAAAGTTTCAAATACTATAAACAACTACAAATGATTGTAGTTGATTTTTGAATGATATCGAAACTCAATTGTCTGATACCATTTCAAAAAAATTTATTCGTCTTTTTCATTCATTGAATTAAAAATCTGCGATTACTACAAAAAACTACAAACGACGATAGACAGGAATCCGATATCACCTTGGCTGGAGCTACCATTCACTCTCTAGTTGGGCTCCAAAAATCGAGTGAACACTTATTTGGATTTGAAAAAATTTCAAAACTACAATCAACTACAAACGATTGCAGATAAGAATCCCATGTCACTTAAGCTGAAACTATAGAAAAAGTTCCTAACTGTCTTTCAAAAATGGATTGGATAGTTGTTTGAATTCGGATTAAAAAAATTTCAAAACTACAACCAACTACAAACGATTGCAGATAAGAATCCAATGTCAATTGAGATGTGAATATAAAATAATTCCTGTCCTTCAAAAATAGATTGGACGCTTATTTTTCAACTACAAACAAAAAAAATAGAACTACAATCACGTGTAGGTTAAAATCTATCAGATACTAAATTTTTGTTACAATGCGTGAAAGTCGGGTGCCAATTTCACACAGCTGATTATTCCCACTGAAAACGTTTATTGCTTCCTCATAAAGCAGAGACCCGACATACCCAGAATTCCGAAACGAGCCCATGTGACTTAATTGAATCCCTAGCACATTACCATCCTCGCACAACAGGACCTGTACAGATCGTAAAAGGGAATCACCAGTGCGCATAGTTCACCCAGTGTCCTCTCCATCTCTCACATCATCCCTGAAACAATAACGTATGACCTATACTTAATTCCACGGGGGACATCCCTGTGATAACGCACTCAGTGCAGTTCAGTCTCGTGATACGGTAACATGTGCATAAGTACACACACATGCATGAGAAACTTGGACCCACCGGTTTTGAAAGTGGAGGGCGAGAGAGCGCCTCGCTGCCTGCCCCGTCGCAAAAGCCCCCCGGGAGACACTCGGTCGAGACCAAACGATTTCGATTTACCGCAGTCACCGGCTGTCCGCTCGGTAAGCCACACCGATGGTACCCGTTGAGTATACCGCGTACAACGTGACAGATATAGATTAAGTACACCGATCGATTTATCGTGGATATACATTTTTGTGTTTTTGTGAATTATGTGATTTCTTATTTAAGTTGTTTTGGAAAATTGATGTAATTCATTGATCAAGTTATGAGAAGGAATAAATGTTTGTGGAAGTTCAATTTTTTTAGAGGTGAGTACTTATTGCAATTGTGATGTGAAGTTTGTATGAAAACGGCATCGTTCATATCAAGTTAAAAGAAATTGATGATGTTATTTGATAATGCAATATATTTATCTGAATTTTTCATCTCAAATCCCGGAAATTTTTATCACGTGATACTCTCACGGGATTTTCAGGAAATCTTGTCATGGTAAAATCAAGCATTTCACTCCTTTTCTAATGATTCGATTGGAACATGAAAGGAAGCAGTAAATTTAGTTTCAAGTATTCCGTGAAAATTCAGCAAGATCATGGAAATTTTGGGGAAATTCGGAGATGCAGAAATTTAGGGTTCTGAATTTTCTTGTTTAATTGAAAATTCATGTAAATTGTGAAATTTCCGTTTTCTACTGAAGACTTATTAATCCCCCGGAATTCTGCATAAAACATGAAATGTCATAATCAAATGTCATTCTGACGAAAGTTACTACATTATTGACAATTTTGGCTCAAATTTCCCGTTCACTTCCTGGAAATTTTCCTGAAGTGGTTTCAATAAAATGAACTTTCATGAAGTGGTTCCAATAAAATTTCAAGAATTTTGGGCTTTAAAATTCACAATTTGATGAAGACTTCTATAGAAACTGTAGATTTTAGTCCAATTATTCCATAAAAATCAATACCAATTACAAACTTTTAGGCAAATATATTCTTTGGTCTTCGATTATTCAAAAATTCAGTGTCATATGCTATGGAATATTTATGTTTTGATTGGAACTTCTGTGATTTTTTCCCCTAACACGAATTCAAGGGTGCGTTCTTTAAATTTCCTACTGAACTTTTCAGGAAATGTCATTTCTTTTTCTGACAGTGTATCATTTCATTCATGAAATTTCTATTTTTTCTAATAGTGTGTTTTTTAGATTACAATTGTTATTTATTTGATAGGAGTTCGGTTCCATCATTCATACTAGGCGCAAAGCGCACATCGCGCGCGCTCGCCAGGTGTCTTTTTTTAAATTTATATATATAAAAAACAATTAACAATAACAATAAAAATTATTTATTTTATAATTAATTAACAATTTTTACAATATTAGATCGATATATTAGATATATTAGTATTTTTTAAATTCTAATTCCTCTGATTTTTACGTTTTATAACAACAAATATCCTTTGAAATGATATATGAATAGTTTCATTTACTTGACCAATAGTTATCAAAAATCCAAACAAAGCTGAATTCATAGTAAACATCATGAAATTCAATTTTTGGATAAAAACTCTCAGATGTTAATGAAAATTAGCCTTAATAAAAAAATTCAGGTGTCAATTTCAAAGTAATTTAATACCTTTTCCCTTGAGCTCTAGTTATCTTCATAGATTTGAACGGAAATCGAACAAATCTCGTCATTATGAAGAGAAACATGGAAATTTTCAAAACGTGACAGACTAAAATCGCTACATTATCGCTTATAACAATTCATTTAGTGGATAGGATTGATTATATCGGGTATCAATTTGAAGATCTCGAGGAGACCTTCGCACTGACATATGATATATTCCGATTGGTTAAGGCTAAAGCTTCGATAAATGGCAAAAACTGTCATTCCTGAGGTGTGACATGATGTAGAAAATAGAAACAATCAACAAGGAATTAATGAAAAATGAATTAAATCAGATTTATCATACACCATTTTGAAGAATAGTAAATGCTCTTCAAAACGATATGATAAGTTAATGAAAAGTAGACAGAATTTTGCAAATCAAGCATCATTTTGAAACTTGTTTAATAAGATTTCCAATGAATATACTACATGTGTGGTTTATGAAAGTGGAAAAAGAAATTGAGCATAGAAACAAAAGAAAGCCTGTTAACGCTCATGGACATATTTTTATATTGGAATTTAAATTTTAAACACAAAAAAATGAAGTTTTCTTTTATTTCATATTGAAGGTTGAGTGCTCTGAAACTTTTTCTTCTGTTAGAATACTAACAGAATTTGTTATAACAAATTGAAGATTGTGACGAGATACATGATCTCCGAGTTGTGATCAGAGGAGATGATACTATGGCTTTTGAGACAGACAGTTCCAAAAGTTTCCATTTTTTTCTGAGCCAGACGATCTTTTCAAAATAAAGTCTCATTTGAGTCTCGTGCGCAACCCTAATTTATTTAGCGTCGAATTTTGATTTCAGGAATATTGATTAAGGATTGTATGATTATAGGAATCCCTTCAATATTTTCCTTATTTCTCGTGATCTATATTTTTATTCATTTAAGGGGGATGGCCACGGTGAAATTTTGAAAAATTCGTTCTTTTTTCTTTTGCCTTTTTCGATAGTATATACGTTCAGACATATACTCATGAAGGTTTATTAGAAAATTCGAAGAGCGAGACGAGTTATAACCGTTTGTATTGGGGCAGGTACAGCAGTGCCGCTGAGCTCGTGCCCCTCGCGCTCAGGTAGCAGTCTATTGTCACTTTATTCTTTTCCCATTCAGCCTGACCAGCAAATGTCTACCATCAGTCGTATTGGAAAATCCGCCCACAGGAGGAGAAAATCACCCCGTAAATGAACTTATACTTTTACACCTTATACTTTTATATGTGACCGTCCGTCCGAGAAAGGCACACCAGGCCCGCTGCGGACGGCTAGGTAGGAAAACTTTGAACGTACTTTTCTTGAAACATGATTTTCCATCCTGGTACCAACAATTATCCAAAAACTACTTTTTCCAGTAAAATAATTCTTGTACGAGATGATTCACTCCGAGAATCGTTATTATTCCACGGGCACTAATAGTACATTAGAGTACAAGGGCACAAATTTCGTTTGAAAACGAAGTTTATGTCCGAGTGGTCTATACTATTTTATGCCACATCGTGCAGAAGTCGAGTTTGAATCACGCTGCGCGAAGCGCAACGTGCGATACACTCGACTTATTGCACGGCGTGCCATAATTTTTTTTTTCTAGCCTACTCTTTTTTTTCAGTTGTTATTGCTGTCATTTATGAGGGCGCGCAATGGGGCTCATTGAATAATTGCTCTATTTCTGACAATTCTTGTTTTTGTTTTAAATGCGCCTGTGCAACGATAGATGGACTTGTCTCATTCCTAGAAATGAATCATCGTTTTGTTTAAGATGAACCAAGGCTGTGATATGAATAGAGCCAGTTGAGAAAAGGCCTCTCATTCAATAATTTATAACTTTTTCAAAAGTGAATATTTTGTCAATATAAAAATATATCCTTATTGTTCAATCATCATTTAGTGCGTCGTTAATTGTTGAATTGTCATATACTTCACCTTGCCAGTTGAAAAAAAACTACGAATAAAGGAATTTTCCTGACGCGTCACCGTAGCCATTCCCTTTAAGGGAAAACGGAACCCCTGCGTTTATATGAATGTTTAGAATTGTGTTTTCTCCTGCAATTATTTTTTTTTATTCATTAAACTACTTCATTGACTCAACAATGCGATAATCGAGTCGATAAAGTAATTTCATAGATAGAAATTAATAATTGTAGGAGAAAACACAATTCTCAGATTTAATGTAGATAAAGGGGTTCCGTCTCCCCTTAAGGAGAGAACGCGGTAAAATTTAAAAGTCTTCCCACGGTCTTAAGAACCGTTAGACGACTTTGGGTATATGAGGGGATAAATTAAAGAGTAAGGAAAATCGCGGAACCGATCGGTTTCGCCCCGTATATCCACCAAAAACCTCATTTTTCACCTTTTTACCTTAAAAATACTCTTTCCACCACAGTTTCAGTCCGGTTCCAACTTTTTCTTTCAATATTTGTTATATCCCAATGAAACAAGTAGCGTGACAAAAGCCATTTGACAGATTACATCTGACTGCAACTCTCCATGCATTTTTCATCTCCTACTCTCATTTCTATCAATTTCATTGGTTTCACTGGTATCAATTTCATTGGGTGTAGTAGGCTTCTGAATGGATCTTGATGTATGTTTTCAAAGAATGAAGGCATAAGTATTACCATTTTTTGGAAATAGTAAGGCCAATCCCACTCATACTTCATGATAAATATCGGTAGCTATTATTATCTATTTATGGAAAAATCATACTTCCCATGATGACCATTCGTGAATCATCTAGTCAGAATAAACAAATTATTAGAATGAATAAATATGAGAAACAATAGTGGTCACGCAGGTAGGGTGCGGTGGCGGTCATCAAAGCTTTGTCTCATTTTCCCCTATTTCTATAAAATAAATCTGAAAAAACTATATATTCATGTTATATGGCTTTCTCGGCTATGCTTATATGAAAATGAATGATGAAATATAAATACGTTGATTATTTTGTTATCAAGAATATAGGGTAAATTGTTCCATCTCAAGAATAATCAAATATATCGATCTAAAATTTGATATAGGAATGTTTCTTGACAATCCTATAAGCCAAAGTTTCAAGAGGTTTCCCTGAGTTTTACCCATGTCATAATGCGCAAAACTGAATTCAAACCAAAAAAATAGAAAACCGTCAATATCTCTAAACTGTTCAATGGGATGGTACACATATTTTGTTAGATCTAGATAGAAGATATCAAGACAGACATTTTGAAAAAAAAAATGAAATCGGACCAGTAGTTTTTGAGATATTAAGCAAAAGAGTTTTACATACTAAGTTGAATATCTCCGAAACAAAGGGTCCGATTCCGTTCATCTACCATCCCAAACTTTATTATCATAAGACCTAAAATCATACCAAGTTTCAAGTTTCCATCTCAATCATTTTTTAAGTTATCATATATACAACAATTTCAGTGAAAAAATGAAAAAAACGAGAATAAAACTACATTGCTCGGGGTGGAATGGTTTTTTTTCCATCCAATTGAATAGGTATCATCATGACGAGTATTTTGAAAAAAAAATTGGAATCCGTCGCATGGTTAAGAAGATATCTGCAAAAAACGATTTTTGAGGAATCGCTGTCTCAGGAATCGCTTAACCGATCGAGCTGAAATTTAGGACAAACTTGACTATCAGTAGTACCAA